TAACTTAAAGTTAACGCCAATATTATACTCTCTTAAATGAATAAAACAAAATCAAAATGTAAATGGATACAACTAAGTTAATAAAATAAGTAAAAAATCATGCATACAACAACAATTAGCCAAACTAGCATAAAAACTTTAGAACACAAATAAAATCAATATTTTGATATTCTAATGATTTTAGATACTTTTTCAATCACGTTAAAAGATAAAAAAAAAATGGTAAAAAGAAAGGAAAAAAGATAATAAGTTAAAATTAAATAATAAGCTGAAGTAAACAAATGCAAATCTTAATATCTAATGCTAAACTTAGTAATAAGAAACTGTCACTTTTTAAAGATAAACATTGGATTAATAAAAATTTATAGTGTAATGAAATATCAATAAGGTGAACAAATAGATTAATTAAGTCTTGATAACATAAAACATATTTTGATGAAAAAGGACAAATAACATAAAATTTTTAAGCAGTGGTGTAGGACAATAGTCTATCACAATATCTTCTTATCATATATATCACAAGTCTATTAAGGTTTAGTTATATGTCTAAACTTTCAAATAAAATTTTGTAAGTTACATGACTACAGAAAATTTTATTTTATATTTTTCAACGAAAGAAAAGAAGATCTGAAGTAAATCATTACATATATTAGCCTATCTAACCATTGTTCAATTATGAGATCAAATAAGCAATAGAGGCAAATGCTACAACACTATAAATAGTAACAATGAATAAAAAGTTTGGCCAAACATTGATCATGTATAAACTAATAGAGAATTTTCACATTCTACAAAGAATAAAAGAATTAAAAAAAACATGAAAGGCATTAAATAAGAAGTTTTATAAAGCATACAAGCATTAAATAAAATTAGAAAGATTTCACACCCTTTATATACCTAATTTCATCTTACTATTAGCAATCAAGCTTAAACAACCAAAAATCCAACAAACTCGTTCAACAACTAAAAACCCAAAATCTAACTAACTCAAGCAATCAAACTCATTCAACAAAAAAAAAAAAACCTAAAATCCAAAAAATCCATATTTAGATCTATGAAGAATGGGCAATGACAAGTTATAAATGGTGGCATGAAGGGGCAACAAAAGGGGAAGCAAATAAGAATGACTCGAATTTGAATGTCAGGGATAAAGTAGGCGTCGAACAAGGTTGTGAGAGCTAGATTTAATGGTTAGACCGCCAAGTGAGCTAGGAATAAAGGCTTGAAAATAAGTTAAGATAAATGTCGCATGAGGTACAAAGCTCACACCAAAAGGGTTTATTAAGAGGCATGCCGAAAGGAGGGGCATTATACCAGAATGTGTAGGATTTCTTAGGAGAATGGGATCGAAGGAGAAGGGAAAAGAGGAGAATAGGAGAAAAAAAAAGGGATTTACAGGTTTTAAAACTTTTTCATAAAAATGAAATAAAAATTAAAAAATGATTTTGTAAAAAAAATAAAACTTTAAAGATGGAATTTTTATCGCTAAATCTATTGTAACTTACGCCATTATAGACGAAATTCCATCAAAAATTTCATTAAAAATTCCATTAATCATAATGGCACCATATAAATTTTTTAGAGCCAAACATTCCCAATAGCATTAGCAACAGTAGGTACTTTTATCAATAATTATAGATGAAATTTCTTCAATAATGACAAATATCTGAGTGATGAAATCCATCAATAATAAAACTTTTTAGCAATAAAAAGTTTTTCAATAAACTTTTGTCATTAAAGGCATGTTTTCCTATAACTATAGTATCATTTGTAATTTTTAGTGCACTACTCAACAAGTGTAGGTTGAAAACAAAATCAAAAAATTAAATCAATTGCAATAATACTTGAGCTTCTATTATTTGTTTAGAATTCAAATCATTTTTAACTGCATTATGAAGCAAATCAATAAAATATGCAAACAAAATGATTATATTGAAAAATGTACCATAATGATAACCCCATCGAGTATTACCAACGCATTTGAGACTAGTTTTTTTTTTGAAATCTCTTCCACTTGTGAGCTCACCGTTCTTTATTATCTTAACAACTTTAATGGCATGACTTTCCTTAGAAGTATCATGTCATTTGCATGAAGCTTAAACAACATTTAACAAACTAAGAATATTATAAAAATTGAAGCAACTAAATTTTCATTTTTTACAATAACTATAAGAGTTAATTGAAGTTGATAATGAAAGTAATGAACATAAAATGCAAACTCATTTTCCTTCAAAATAAAAAATTTCAAATCATTAAACTCATCTTGCACATTACTTTCACTATCATAGCTTTGTCCACATAATTTTAACAAACTCAATCTACACTTGAGAAATAATGACTTAATTGCTATTTTGAGTAACACGGAAGTAGTATAAAAAACATCCATGATACTTAAAAAATTTTCAAACTACATAATATTTTTTATTCATGTAACGCAAAACAAGAGACATTTGTTCCTTATTTGACATATAACATGATTTATCAACTGAGATAGAAAATAAATCATCTCCTAAATCATCAATAATAATCTTTGTTATCTCATATGTTACAACATTTATAATATCATATTAAATATCATGAACAATTAGTTTCAAATTGTTAAGATCATTATTTAAAACAAACATTATTGATAGTGTTATTAGGATTGGCATGAAAATGCAAAAGTTTAAGAAAATTCTCCTAGTTTCTTGATTCACATGATTCATTATGATCATGAAAAGTTAGCCCTTGACATAAGAGAAATCGAAGATAATTTGCAAAAGCAATCAACCTATTTTGATATTTAATTCGGGCTTGATTTGATTATTTAACCAAAATAAAAGAATCTAATATTTTAACTTGTTATTCAAGCAATTAATACATAAAATTTTTCTATTTAAAATTAAGGTTTGAAAAGGATTATACATATCTCATGTATTAACTCTTTCTTCTATTTTAATCTTGGTTAAATATCCTAAAAAAAGTATATGTTGAAACTTATCTAAATTTAATGTTTAATTTGATTTATAACATTATTCTATCTTGAATCCTCCCCCATTTTTTATTTTTTTATGTTTTGTTTTTTTATTTTCTCTTTCTTAAGGATGTCAATCTTACTCATATTTAATAGAGAACTTCATTTTTTATTTGAATGAGAATGAGAATGTGTATTCCATTGTGGGTACGAAAATGGAGATAAGTATAATTTTAGATTTTTATTAGGTACAAAAATGGGGATAGGTAATATAACACATGTCTCGTATATGTACTATACATATATATATATTTTATAAATAGAGTTTTTATTAAATAATATAAATTATTATTTTATATTAATTAAAATTAATGTATTTTATTAAAAAATATATATTAATATATATTTATAAAAAATTACCTATATATACAACATAAAAATAAAAAAATGCTAAAAAAAAATTAATTTTTAGTTTTTTTTAAAGCTATGGACATGAGGATTATTTATACTCATTAAATACTTATGAGAATGGAAATAAAGATAAATTTAAAATACTTATTGAATATGAATACGAAAATGAGTATAATATAAAATCTTTAAAAAAATGAATATTTTACCCTATCAATATCCTATCCATTGACATCTTTACTCTTTTTTTATGTTGAATGCCAAGATGCAAATAATAGAAGACAAATGACCTCTTTAATTCTCTGCTTTCTTTTTAAAAGCTTTTAAATTATTAAACTTTTAAAATTAGACAACTTTTTTGTACAACAACACAAGCATGTTAGTCAACAGGTTTTCCAATTGCTTTTACTTTGGAAGAAAAGACGAAAGTTAAAAAAAAATTACATATTTTGTGTAGACATTTTTACTTATATATTGACCCTATGAATAATTCTTAGTAGGTCAATTTGTTTTTCTAAATTTCTATATATAATACATGGATTTAAAATTTCACTGAGGTCAGTAGACTTCACTTTTTGAATGTAGCTATAGAGTGTTTTCCAAAAATAATAATATAATCAAACATTACTTAAAAGAAAATAAATTTAATTAAAAATAATTTAAACATTAATACTTTAATTAATTAATATACTTTATAATTTATTATAATAAAATTAATTAATAATTAACTGATGAAAATGTGAAAGAATAGACATTATCAAAGGGCCATGAGGGTCAAGTAATGGGAGCAGTAGCCATTATAGTTAATTCCGTCAATGAGTTCTATGTATCATAAACCCTGGTAACTACTAAACCTTGGCCGTTGGTTTCGTATGGGATGTAGCAAGGTAATTTTGGAAAGAGATGCACTGTTGATCAATGGTTGAGGAATGCTTAAATCTACAAGTGGAGAGGGAAAGCAATGCGACAGCACATGCTTTACCAAAAACTATTTTTTTATTATTTAAAAAATTTTGTACCGAGTTAAGAATTGTCCAGAATATTATTAATAATATCATTATTTTCGATGTTTCTATCAATTAATGAAATTATTTTTTATTTTCAAAAAAAAAAAATGCATATGCTTACTGGAGGAAACCTTTAGTCTAGCTTTCTTCTCCAACCATACATGTTTCATCATCTTATCTATCCTTTCTAAAAAATTTCTTGCTTTTGCTTATTTTGTAGTTATTGATTGTTGTTATGTATATGTATATATATATTTTTAAATTCAAGGAATAAATGATTCTATATCCACTTTTTAGACAAAATTGTTCAAATTATATCTTTTTTTTTGTGCAAATAAAGTAAGTAACAATTGTTAAGATCCATTTTGTCTATATATGAAAATAGGGTATTTAATTTTGATCCAAAAGTGAAAAAAAGAGATTAATTAACATATTAATAATCTATGTTTTATATTAAAATTTATTAAAATTTAAATTAAATATCGAGTATTTTATTATAAATAAATTTATAATATTAAGGCATTATAAAAATTTTATTGAGTAGAGTTAAATGTGTGTATCCATGAATATTGGGCCTTTGAAAATCCAATTGAAGTCCAATTGTATCGGAGCATTTTTGGCTTTGGGTTTTTAGGGTTTAAGACCGACACTCGCTGCTGGTTGCTGCCCTTATTTAGGGTTTTAGGTTTTGAAAATTGTTTTTCACCATTTTCTTCATTTGTTTCTTCACCATGTGGGCACTACGTCGAGTTACTAATCCTCTCAAGTACCTTCGTCGCTCACGCTCTCTCTCATTCTCTTTTTGTTTTCTAATATATGTTGTCTGCATTTACTTGTATTTCTTTGTTCGGGTTTAATCAGCTGGCCATTCCTTCTATGTTTGTTTACCGAGAAAAACTGCAAGGAAGAATGGAAATGTCGGGTTTCATGGCATATATATATATATTTCTTTATATCTGTTTTATTCGGTAGAAATGAAGTAACTTGAAGGGTACCCAATCAGCCATGGTCTTACTTCCCTGGCTATTGCTTCCAAAACTAAACTGCCTGTGCGACAGACTGACATGAAAAATGCTTACTTTCGGCTGTTAGAAATTTGCTGAAATTGCTTTATGTCAATGAGATGAGTTGACCCTAATTTGTTTATTTTTGTTGTTACCAGTTGAAGACTCTGAATTTGTCTGTACAAAATTCCTTTTTTTTTTCATTTCCTGTCACTATATTGAGTTCTAAAATACATGTAAACTAAATAGATGTCTTTTCTATTTTTGTAGGTCATGCTTGTATTTAATTGTGCAATATCAACAAAAAGTTTCATGAATGCTCATTCTCCTTTCCATTTCTTTTATTTATATTAAGCTTTTGAAATCACTACAAAGAAAATATGTTTCTGTTTTTTTTTTCTTATTTTTTTTTATTATGCCTTTTGGTTTGAAATAGTGACCCTTGAATTTTCAACTGGTTCCCAGGGATAGAAGGATCAACATTGGAGTATTTTATGCTGCTTCTGCTAGATTACAAATTTCGAGTAACTACATAGAAGAAAAGGCTGTTATTTCTGAGTATGTTCAAACATCTGATAAGCATCCATCTTTGTTGAGATTTTACCATTCCTCTAATTTCCCTGTTGGGAGGTGTGGGCTTTCTTCCCAAGCTGGTGCAGAAAACAGTGGGGAGGAAAATGACTTGGAAGATGGCTTTTCTGAACTTGAAACGCCTGCTAATGCTGAGACCAAAGAAAATTACATTGCTCAGGATGAAACTGAAGATGGATTGGTTTCTGATCGAGAATTAGCTGGTGAGGAGGAAGATGTTCAGGAAACTGCTTCAAATGAACTGGAATTGTTAGAGGGTGAGAGTGATCCCAGTGATAAAAGGTCATCCACAAGGAGTACTACCTCAGAACTGTTTAAAGCTATTGTGTCTGCTCCAGGTCTCTCTGTTCATAAGGCTCTTGATAAGTGGCTTGAGGAAGGAAAAGATCTTAGCAGAGCTGAGATTTCAGTAGCAATGCTCAATCTTCGCAAGCGTCGAATGTATGGGAGGGCATTGCAGGTTATTTGACTTTTCATTGCATCTTTTTTGGGAATTTATTTTCCAGTAAACTGTAGTCACCTTGTTTTGTATGAAACTAACTTCTCTGCATATAGGTGTTGAGCCAAATGTTATTTTAGAATTTGGTAATTTTTCTCCGATACTAATTTATTTAAATATTTTTTATAAAGAAGATATTAAATAAATTGTATGGCTTTTCCATTTTATTTCCTGTATATTGAGTAGGCATCTTACACTCCTCCTGTATTGTTTGTAAGTGCAAGAGGGTATATGTAAATATGATTTAGGCAAATCTGTTTCATCTTTTTTCCTTGAATGTTTTATTTTAAAGTTCTCTATTTCCATTTTGTTGGAGGGGCTTTTAATATTTCTCAAAGTACAGCTTAGAACTACCCTTTCCATTCCATTGAAGTGCAACTAGGAAATATGAGTTTTTTTTTTCTCTATTTTTCCCTTTCTTCAATATAGCGAGGAAGATAACCTTTTATCTTTTTTTCTTCGAATTTCTACATATCTGTTTTTTTTTTTTTTATGGTAAAAGAAAGCAAACATTACTTGATTGTTTGAAGTTCCCTGGTATTAAGTTAAATAGTAAAGCATACAAAATGAATTTTCTGTCAAAAAATGAGCTGAACAGAAAATCAATTTTTTACTGATAGTATTTCATATATGTGGAAGCAATCATTGGCTTTTGTAAGTATATCAACTAAACAATCTTTTGCTATATGTGTTGGATGCCATAGGCATATTGATATCTGTAACAAGTGTGTAAAACTTCTTGCTTGGATGTTTTAACATGATTAGGATCCATTTCGTTTAAAGTAAATAAATAAATATTTGACCTTTACTTACCTTTCTTTTTGATGCAATGCCACATGACTATATTGATCTAGCTTTGGTTTCTTTTGTCCCCCCTTTCCCTTACCTGATCGGTGCTCTGGTGTATGTAATAGTATATTTCTTTGTCGAAGGAGTAGTTATTGTGCATTCCTCAATTATGTCTTCAGGATGCATTATTTGCTTGTGCATTCATCAACCTTTTTCTATTAATTAAAAAGTGTAACTCATCATTAGAATCTTTAGGTTTACATATACTGCTAAGCCGTTGGTAGTTGTCGTGGTTAAAAATTTGGTTGCACAAATTTAGCACCAAAAGTTCTGAAAAGTTGTGCCATTTGTTTTTGTTAATTCTCCTGGAAATTGGTTCACTTTTCTTGTTCCCTTTAACTAGGAATCAGTTGGATACCGTCTTATAAGAAGAGTCTTTCTTCCATTTTTGCACTTTGCTTGTTAAACCTGAAGGCTCAAAGAATATTTCCTTTAACTTGCTATCTGGCATTTTAATTTTTACACTGCAGTTTTAGTACAGCCTCAAAAATGTCAACTGCATAAATGGCATGAATTTTCTAGGTCAGTTGATGAAATATCTATATTCTTAGAGTATCTCAACACCCTGTTTTAGTCACCCTTTCGCATGCATCCATTTTGTTGGATTAGTCAATATGTTCTTATATACCTATATTGAAATGATATTCTATGTTATATGACTTTGGTTATGAAAGTAGGTCTGACTTAATTGCATTTTGTTCAGTCCTTTCTGTTGGCTTACAATTTGACTGTTTGTAGCTCTCTGAGTGGTTGGAGGCAAAGAAGCAGCTTGACTTTGTTGAGAGAGATTATGCTTCTCGTCTTGATTTGATTTCCAAATTACGTGGTCTCCAAAAGGCAGAATACTACATTCAGACTGTCCCAAATTCTTTTAGAGGAGAGGTAATCTACAGAACCCTACTTGCTAACTGCGTTGTTGCTAACAATTTGAAGAAAGCAGAGGAGGTCTTTAACAAAATGAAGGACCTAGAACTCCCAATTACTTCATTTGCTTGCAACCAGCTGTTGCTCCTCTACAAGAGGCTTGACAAGAAGAAAATCACTGATGTGCTGTTATTAATGGAGAAAGAAAATGTCAAACCTTCACTTTTCACTTATAGAATCTTAATTGACGTCAAAGGTTTATCTAATGACATTAGTGGGATGGATCAAATTGTTGAGACAATGAAGGCTGAAGGTATTGAACCAGACATCCCCATACAATCCATCCTGGCTAAGCACTATGTTTCAGGGGGCCTTGTGGAAAAAGCTCTGGAGGTTTTAAAGGAGATGGAAGGGGACAACATAAAAGAGAATCGTGGGGCTTGCCAGTTTTTGCTTTCTGTATATGCAGAGCTTGGAAAAGCTGATGAAGTGGAAAGAATTTGGAATGTCTGCGAATCAAATCCCCGCTTTGAAGAGTATCTGGCTGCTATTCAAGCTTGGGGAAAGTTAAGTAAAATTGAAGAAGCGGAAGCAGTTTTTGATAGGATGTTAAAAGCATTGAGGAAGCTTCCTGCTAAGTGCTATGCCATACTGTTGAAGGTGTACTCAAACCATAAGATGCTGCAAAAAGGTAAGGATCTTGTAAGACGTATGGAAGATAATGGGGTCCAGATTGGCCCATTGACTTGGGATGCTCTTGTGAAGCTTTATGTGGAAGCAGGGGAAGTGGAAAAGGCTGACTCGATCTTGCTGAAAGCAAGCCAGCAGAACCAGGTTAAGCCCTTGTTCAGTTCTTTCATGGTTGTTATGGAGCAGTATTCTAAGAGGGGTGATATCCATAACTCTGAAAAATTGTTCCATAGAATGAGGCAGGCTGGATATGTAGGTCGATTTCGTCAGTTTCAATCTCTAGTCCAAGCATATATAAATGCCAAAGCTCCAGCTTATGGGTTCAGGGAGAGAATGAAAGCAGATAATATATTCCCAAATAAGGCTTTAGCTGCACAGCTGGCTAGAGTCGATGCGTTCAGGAAGACTGCAGTGTCTGATTTGCTTGACTAAGGGTTTCAATGGTTACTTGTGTCCCTGCTTTATGTGGGTCAAATGTTGGTTGTTGCTTCTAGACATTCTGCGTTGTTGTTCTTGAACGTCAAACAATTCTCTCCCTTTTCCATGGGAATTTTTTAAGAAATATGATGTTATTTTCTCTTCCCTGAAGTTGATATATGATCGATGCTGGTAGTTGTTAGTTCCTAAAACAGTGCCTAGCCTTTGTAGGAGTTAAGAGTGTAATTCAGGGGTAATCTCAATGCATATTTGGTTTGGAAGATATGATTTTCTTTTTTTTTTTTTGTTTCAACTGGTAATTTCAAATATCTAATCTCGCAATTGAAAACAGAAACTTGGAGGTTCTTATATATTATATACTGCAAGTTTTTGAATAAGTAGCAAAACCCAATCCAATCATATGGCTTGAATTTGTTGGACTGTTTCAGCCTATATTCATTTTACTACAACCAAAACAACATTTATAAACATGGTCAAGGAATCATCACGACATATAAGAAAGGGAAGATCCAAGTTCATCCACATCCACACCAGGACAGTTATTTCTCCGTCTGGTCTGATTTCACTTCACTCAGAAGCATAAACATGCATTTAGGAGTATTTACAAGGGATCTCAATTCTCAACTGACTATAAAACTTTCAAACATTTAAAGAGATTTATAACGTACGACATTGTCAGGTAAGTTTCTAAAATTTACAACGCTTGTTAAAAAGCAGTGACTGTAACTGTTTTGCTGAAAAAAATCTGTTGATAAGAGCTGATAAATCGGTTTTAGAAGAATGTTTGTGTAGGTAATTTTAAATTCATGATTTAAAGCTGAATTTTGGTCAATCAAGTTTTTGAGTTTTGATTGATTGATATATTCAAAATTTACGAATACAACATTCGTACACAAATTGAAAAATACAAAATCCCATTCTTTCCCATTACACCCAGAAAAAAGATCAAATTCCATTGAATAGATGATCAATCTTAACCTATCGGGTGCCTTTCCAAATGGCACAGAAACATGATGAATACCAGTCGCTTTTACCAAATCAAAATATTTTACACCTGGATGGATGCAGTATGCAATCTCAAATATCCAGTTTATCAAGGTTTATCTTGCTTGCAGAATTTTGGATGAGTTCCTTCCGTGCATCCACCTAACACGCGCACAAAAAGAAACGACTTTAATTAAAATCACTATGCATGAATGTGACAGAATTATGTGTATAAAATGAAGGATGCATTGAGCACTACATTCAGGAATCGTTTTGACCTCAACCAAATTCATTGTGAGCAGACTAAGAGAACACAAGATACTACAAAATTACAAACCGTTAAAAGCCACTTGATAGGATGCAGAAGGAGACAAAACCATTAACAGATGTGCCTCATTCAATGTAAACTAACCTATTCATAAACTAAAAAAGTGATCTACATACCCGAGCACCCATAAGGGATGAAAACACTATATTCGCTTCAGCCGCATCTTCAACCACTAATTGCTTCAGCAGCCTTTGCTCAGGATCCATCGTTGTTTCCCACAGCTGAGCAGGCATCATCTCACCCAAACCTGCATTACAACCATACACATTCTGATTAAAATATACTACCAATGATGAATAAAGAAAACTTATATATTCCATTTTCTTGAACCAGCTTGGTAAGAACTACAGAGAACATCCATGAGTAGGAAAAAAAGTGACGATAATCTCATCAAGTCGCAGAACTCAAATGAATTCTTATTGTTGTGAGAACTAAATTTTGAGAGGAAGGCTCTACTAAAAACTGCATATATTCAAGGTGTGTGTTTGTGTGAAATTAGCGCTTAACTTTAGAGACAATCTGCTCCCACCATAGAAAAGAAAAAGGTGACTTGTTACAAAGTTGCAGCTTTTTCTATTGTTTTTCCAATAGTGATTTCTCCCACCCACCCCCCAACTTATCTCAATCTAAGTTTCATTTTATTCTCAAAATGAAACTCATTTTCTTTCCTCCATTACTTTGTTTTAACAAAAGATACATTCTATTCTAAAAATGAAACTCATTTGCTTTCCTCCATTACTTCATTTAAACCAAAGATACACTTATAAAATGCCTAAAATGCCAAGAAGGGAAAAACTCCTTTAAAAAAGTTGCATGTAGTCCTTTTCCCCTTTTATTTCTTATAATTTAATCATCTTTGAGGATATGGTGTAAAATCTCTTGCTAATTTTAAATTGTCAATAAACATTCTACAATAACCACCTGGTTGGAAACTATTCTTTTTATACAAGGCTTAATAAATCCTGAGTTAGAAACCTACACAAGTTGTTTACTGTTAAGCTTCTATTTAATTGATACCTTAACACATGTCAAATTCCATAAGTGGTTCACAGTTTTTTTTTTTCAGGCTATTACTGTCACTTTTAAAAATCTCTAATGGTAGAATCTCTCTTCCCTCAAAAGGACAATTCTCAATCTAACCCTGATTTTAGTTTTAAGTATCCATGCTAGATATATGATAAGTGATTAGCACAGAAACCAAATGGTCCAAGAAACCATGCATAGTTGAGCACATTCCGATATCATATATGCATATGCAAAAATAAAAAGTAAAATGCATCAGTTTAATCAAAGTACACTTTCAAGCTAAACAGATATAGACATTAAATTGGAAGAAATAATAAGTTTTTTTTCCATGAATCACAAATCAGAATGCAGATTAGTATTGTGCAGCCTCTCAACAGTCAATTATGAATTTAAGCATGTTCTTGTATTGTACGTGCAAAAACTAAAACAAATGCATCAGTATAATAACAGAACAAACTTTCAAACTAAATTGATATCATTAAATATGAGAGCACTCAACTAAGTTACAAGAGATAAATACATCATTTACATGAATCATTTAACAGAATGCAAAGTATCTTGCTTAGCCCCCCAACAGTCAATTATAAATATCCAGACAGGAAAAAGAGGAAGAGAGAGAAGGAAAGAGATTTTATCCTTGCCTTTGAATCTCTGAATGTTGTATGATGCATTATGGGGGAACGAACTCTGGACTTTTTTAAGATCTGCATCATCATAACAATAGTGTACTTGCTTTCCCCTTTCAACCTGATAATTGTAGCAAACCGAGAGAGAAAGATATAAGCACACTTTTGGTTAAATTAGCTTCTTTGAATCCAGAGTAGCTAACAACAAACCTTGTAAAGGGGCGGAACACCAACATAAATGCAACCTTCATCAAATAAGGCTCTCTGCAAAGAACATAATATATAAATTTTTATATTCGTTATAGCCACAAAATTGAGACACTTTTTACCGTCTACCTGATATCTGAAGAAAAATGTCAGCAGCAGAGTTCGGATATGAGCACCATCTACATCAGCATCTGTTAAGATGATGATCTTATGATACCGTAGGTTTTCTTTATTAAAATCCTCTCCCTGGGATCAATAAGATACATTACATGATATTATCAGTTTGCTTTAAAATAAGAAATTAAAAGTAACAACAAAATAAGTACCTTCACCCCAAGTCCAAGAGCAAGAATCAAATTTTGAATTTCTTCATTCTTGTACATTGCTGCCTCATCCCTCCTTTCAATGTTCAAAATTTTACCCCTCAGGGGGAGAATAGCCTGGAACAACACATTTATAGACTAAATATGGTACATATGTCACATACAACTCTAATAAGAACAACAGCAAATAAGACCAGGATTGCTATCCTAAATAATAATCTATAGGTGCTGATAAATGAAATCATTTCATCACTAAAATTGACCTGTAATCTACTATGTAACTATAGTAAGACCAACATAGTGAACAAGTCATATGCCAATGTACACAGAACAGAGGCCTACAACAAACATGCATCATGGAGAACCATTTAATCAGTCAATTGTCATTGATAGATGCAACTCAATGGTACCCAACACTTACAACAATGAAGCATTACAGCTGGATTATGATATTAGGGATATTAGTCATAGAACCATTAGCAGCAATTAGAAGCAATTATAGAATTCTAAGAAAACACAAATGGTCATCGGCAATAATTGTTTGCTTTGCCAGTATTAACTTATTACTGCTCTTCTCCTACCACAAAAAAATGTATGAAAGAAAGATTCTGAGCTATGTTAATCAAACTCAGGTGCAGGTGTCAGATATGAATGTGAATGCATGACTCACTCATCAAATATAAAATTCAAGCACTGGAATGAGTTCCAAATCTGGGTGTAGCTAATGGGATCCATTTACTTTAGGATGACCTTATTTTGATGCAAGTTTTGGCTTCTTCATGCAAATGTCAGTTACCATGTAGGTAGGCAGGTGCGATCCATTGTAAATATAACTGATACACCTTGAAGAAAAAAGGTGCGTGGAAATAGATTCATCTTTATTTTTATGATTATGAGCTAAATTAGCTGGCCTAACATATGAAAAGAATAGGCTCCACACGTCACTGAGAAATCTACTTTTTTGGCCCAATATAACAAAAATTCCCAACAAGAAACAAATAAATCAAAACTGAGCCTAGCTATTCAGTTGATACAAATATGGTGTAACTCTAGCCTTCTCTCTTCTCCTCAGTCTTTATTCATAGTACACTCTCACTTATCTTTCCTTTCCTACTCACTCTCACTTACATTTTATTTTTCATTTTCTTCTACTCACTTCTCTCTCTTCCTTCTGCTGCCTTCAAAATCTCCAAGGTGTGTCAGACACATATCCCATGTCCTAATCCATTGATAAGGTACCCTCTCCCAAACTTGCAAGTCTAAGTAGGGATTCTATGTGCTATATACAAATGGCTTAGCCAAAAAGCAAAACAAAGCCAACTGACAATGAACCTCAATGAAAGAGTCATTTATGACCATCAAATTTAAGAGAAACATAATTTTCATCATTGAATTGGTGGCAAACAGAAGCACCTGAAGGTCAAGTGATAGTCATCACAGGGAAGGGGTCATCACAATAGAAAAAGAAGCCAAAATATATTAACAGAGGCCATAGCTATTTGTTGTTGAAGACCCTGATGCCAAAATTGAGTGCATTTGGTCCAATTTTAAGTGATTCTCACTATTATATGTTTCACAAAAGTGAAATAAAATAATCTATTAAAATGCTAAAATAGAAGAATAAGAAACTTGGTCAACAGAAGAAAACATTTGCACAATAAGACCAGTCCTATGATGGCATCAATTGGTCAGCATTTGCTCTTGTAAGGTCATATTTGGTGCATAGGATGCTGGATAGAATAGTATGATAATCATTCTATATTATGTGTGGTTTGTATCTAATTGAAAGGGATAGGATTACAAGGAGAATTATCATCCTCTTAGTATAGGATGATTCAATCCTCCCAAAGTGGAGAGGATTACTTTTAATACATGGGATTAAACTTACATGTCCTGTTATACCATTAAAAATTACATCAATAATTTAAATTGTATAAACTTTGAGGAAGGATAATTTTTATAGATAAATAAATTATCCCATCTTAATCTTTACACACATCAAACATAAGATAGGATGACATTATTTAATATAATCTTATTCATAATATCATCTTATCCTATCCTATCATAATCTTGTGTACCAAAACATGACCTAAGCATCATGAGACTAGCCTATTGTCGACATGTATGACTGTTTGATTTCATGTGCAGAGTTATCCTGCTCCAGCCTATCTTTACTTTACATGTTTAGAACGAGCTACTCTTAAAAGTTACTAGTTTTTCACAACCTAGTTTCTGCAAGCAAAAATAATGTTCCACCAACTCTATGCAAGAAAAACTTAACTAACAGATCAATTGAAGCATTCAACAAACAAAACTAAAGTCCATAAAGATCTAAAGTATTATCCAGCCTGTTTCAAGAAATTTCTTGTGTACTAAATTGAATCCATTCTTCCCAACTACTATGGAGAAGTAAAATATTACCTGAAAGCGCCTGTCACGGCCTTGCTTTGCACTGCCACCAGCTGAGTCCCCTTCAACTATGAAAATTTCTGAACCACATATAACGATAAAAATAAGTTATAGACAATCATAAGTAGTAGATCAGAATGCATTATCATTTATTTTGAAACCTAAAGAGACTAATGATGTATAAGCCACAAAACATAAAATAAAGTCCTAAATAACATAATCCTCAACTAGCATACTTGCATTCTCCATCAACTAATTTCTAAATCTGGGATACCATCTTTCAGTCAATAAAAATCACAAATGCTATTTACATATATAGCAATTAGTCCACCAGGAAATAGAAAAGAAAAAAACCCTCTGCATTATCAGTACAGTTAACTAAGAACGCATTTAATACATGTAAGGACTCACTGCATGTAGCAGATTCTTATTTTGAGACGGGCCAGTCAATTCACACTGGGACAACTTATGCATCTTGGGCAACCAAAACATGAGATAAAACCTATGACCTTAAGTGCAAATGTCACGGTAATTTTTTGTAATTTTAAACACATTACCTAATCACAGGGTAAGGTGGGATTGGTTCGCGTACAAATCTACACAGACACAAGTGCTATTTTTGTGTATATATGTATCCATATGTTATAAGTGAAGAAAAACACTAGAAGACACCAAAGGGTGGGGGGCAACCTAACTGAACTGAACTGATGATCTTGATGCATGATAGAGCAATTTAAGTCTCAAAAATCATTGAACAACTGGGCTAACTTTATAACACAATAGAAATAATGCTGTCAATAGAAGCTAGAAACAACTAGTCTTCCAATCTATGAGCACCACATAGAGCATGATGTAGAAAATAAACACTTGAGCAAGCAAATAATGCTAAGTGATTTGCGGCTTAAGCTTCTACAGCAGCCAATAAAAACAATTACATTTGATGTTGCATATAGGACTTTGAAATTTCCTTGTATCCTAGAATGCAAATGCATCAAACTAACCGCATGATGCAGAGTTACGTTCCTTGGACTCAGGTAAAGCCGTTGGGTGTGGGTATGGGTCTAGACATCTAACTCATTGATTGCCTAAAACTTAAGATATGGCCATACAGCATAAACGGATGCAATAGGAAAGATACTATTTTCTTGCTTTCTGAAGTGAACAGGAGAAAAGAGAGTAGCGTTGTAAACATCTGAAGGTTTAAGGACTTGAGCCCACAAGGCTTTTTGGTATTCTTTTTTCTAGGCTAAGCCTTCAAGTCTCTTTTGGTTCAATAGAATAGCCTTTCTATTCTGTGTATTTTCTGGAGTGACCACATATTCCATTGTTTAGTTCATAATTGGGGGCTAGAAAATTCATTGTGGCGCGAAGATTCCAGCTGAAAAAGGAATTTGAAATCTTTTGTGAGAGTGAATATTTGCAATTCCTTGATCTGTGGAATAGGTTTAATATTTTCTTTTCCCAAAGTACCCTTTTCTTCCACACAAATCTTCATGTATCATCTCTCCTCGACTGCTCATCTCCTTCTTGACTGTTTATCTCCTCTCAAAAATCTTGCAAATAAACAAAATAAAATGGGATTTTGTTGAAAGGGCCAAATAAAATGGGATTTTGTGTCCTATTCCTTTCAAAATGAGAAAATAACTGATCGAAAGGGCCAAAGAAATATGTATGAAAATGTGGTAAAGAAAAAGACCGTCACGGTTACATATCCATTAAATTAAACAAGTGATATGGTGATAACTCAAACTTGATCTTTGGAAGTAAAATGAAAATACATGAAACAGCTCCAATAAAAGGCTTCGTTGGTATCATCACAATTTAACCCGAAGTTCATCAATATCAAAATCTCGAACACCAACTGTCACAAAAATGGAGATCTATTTCTCCAACAGAAGGAGACGAGAGCGAAAGGTTAGAATTTCAAAATTTTTTTGTTTTTAGAAAGAGAAAGGGAAATGGGGAAGAAATGGAAAAGGAGAGAAAGAAAAGGAAGAGAGAGGAAAGAGAAAAAAAATCAAATTTTTATTAGTTTTTATGAAATAATATTTTTCTTTAATTTTGTTGGATAATTTTTATTTTTAATAATTAATTTTAGTTAATTAATTATGATTAATTTATTTTAATTAATTAAATAGTATTAACTAATAATTAATAATAAGATGGAAATGACTTAATTAATAATTATATTTTATTAATTAATTATGATTAATATTATTTTTATAATTAATTTAATAAAAGGGTAAAATAATCTTTTAAACATATTCAAACAACATTATTTGAACTAACCAAACATACTAATACTAATTCTTACTATATTCCGTTCCAATGAACCAAACATCATAATAATTATCCTATTCTATTCTTCATCGTTTCTATTCTCACAGAATATCAATTCCATTCCCATTCTATTCCATTCTGCAAACCAAACGTGCCATCAGAGTTTTTCCTTTTCATTGTTGGGTTGGCTTCCAAATAAAATGGTTGACCACTCTTTGGTTTTAATCTTTAAAAAGCTTTTAGGCCCACCTAAGTGAAAATGGCCCAATTCCAAAATACATGGACCTTTCAATTTGTTCACAAGTGCACAACCATGAAATTCCAAACTTCTCCTTTAGAATAGACAACTTTACAATAACCATATTGTCAATATCCTAATACTAATCAATCTATCCATTTCCATTCACAATCATAACCTATTTTGAAAATAACTCTCATAATCAAACAAATAAAACTCACATATCTACATAAATATATTATAGTTAAGTAAATACACAATAAGTTGCTGTAGTCATATCTTTCTTTTGGACCCTTTTATGCCATAACTCTGCATCTTACGATTTAGATAATTGACAAGCTAGATATCTAGACACATATCTGCACCCAACACCAGTATCTCAGGGAGGATGGGGTTTGATTAACTGTCGCTACCTCTTAAATGTCTAACAGAATTGTAACAGAATTGACATTTTCAGTTTCTTCAAAGTTAGAACCGAAATAAAATGTAATGACAAGAAAAACAAATATTATCCAAAACCAAACTACTTGGTTTTTTGGTTTGATCCATTGGTTTTCCATTTCACACATCAACTACAGATATGATTATTGAACAGCTAAAATCACAGTTCCTGAATCAAAATTACCAAATTCCCCCAGAAGTGAGAAATCTCATATCTGACAATCTCTAGTCTTAGTTTTAGATTTGAAATCTCTAACCTTAGATCTGAAACTAAGTCTCAAAAGTCAAACCTAATGTTCTTAAAAAAGAAAAGTAAAATGAAAGAGTAAGAAAGAGGTATCACAATCTGCCATCAGTAATACCTCAGAATAGTGCTTGATTAAAAGAAAGAGAAGGTGTGGCTTATATGGACCAGAGATGAGAATTTAAGAGTTAGAAGAGAATAGAACACAGGACAAAGAAAAAAGAAAGAAGAAAGCAAATCTGGAGAGAGAAGGAAACAAAAATAGCTAGGATTGCAATGAAGGTTGTACACTAATAAAAAAAGAAAAGAAAAGGTTAGTCAGGTCATTTATGTAACCAAGAGTTAAAAGTTCTACTCAATTTTCTTGAAAAGATATGTTGGCAATATAACGTTAGGATAAAGAAGAGCCAATGATTACATTTGTACTCCTACCTATTATATCCTATGTAGTTTGGTTTGGATATTTCGCATTGCCAATTACAATACTGAAACCGAAACCGAATATCTCAGTTCTTAATATGCAAAACTGAAATCTAAAACATCCAAACCAAACTGAATACCTTGGCTTGAAGAATATTATGCCTTGAATATTTGAAAAGTAATAATAGGTGTTTTTTTAACTTAATAAAGTAACTGCAGTAAAAAGCCATCATTAAAATGCAAGACTGAGAATTGAAACCAGATGAAACACCAAAAGTTGAACTTTACTCAATCTAGACATCAGCAATTGCTACAAGTATAACAAACAGAATCCTAATAATTATATTTCAAAATGGAGACCAATTACACCAAGTGAGAAATGTAACTACAAATAGAACATGATATTTATGAAAAAAAAAATCCCATAAAAAACTCATTATGATCAAAATGCTCTCCTGTAATACAAGTCAAATAATTTTTGAAAGAAGTAAAGCAACATTTACCAGATTCTTCTGGATTTGTGGATGAACAATCAGCCAGTTTTCCAGGAAGAGATGATGATTTCAACACACTCTTTTGTCGGACTAATTCCCTTGCCCTCTTTGCTGCAAGAGCTGCCTGATAGCAAAACAACATCCATGAGGAAAACTTATCATTGTTATATAGTCAGTGCCAATAGACATTTAGAGCTGTAGGATAAGGGAACTAGATTCAGTGAATCAAATAACAGGGTCAAAAGAAACTTTATAAGATATGCAAAAGGTACCTTGAAAGCATTTAGTGACTTGGAAAGGATCGAATCAAGTACATCTGGATGCAACTCCAAATACTCAGTAAGAAACTCTTGGACAGATTGATCAACCACTTTTCGCACCTCAGGATTTCCCAATCTTGTCTTTTAACAATAAATGAAAATTCATCAAGTCATCATAACAGCAATTTAGTACAGGAATCTAATTCAAGCTATCAAGAGCATCACTATTACCAAGAATAGTAGTATGCCATTGACAACATGATACATAAATGATACCTTAGTTTGTCCTTCAAATTCTGGATTTGGAACTTTCACAGAAATAATGCACGTCAGTCCCTCCCTTACATGTTCACCACTTAAGCTAATATCTTTATCCTGAAAGATGCAGAAGATGATTCATAATAGCGCACATCACAAATACTTCACATCCACATTCTATTTATCCATGTCTAAATAATTGTTAAACTTGAACCAACCACATCAATAAACACATTTAAATCATTTAAAGTGCTTTAATTACTGTTTAGGGAAAAAAAGTGATTTAACTACTGTTTGTTTGAACCTTAAAAGTAATTTAATAGAGGTTTCTAACTTAAAGGCCTTTTTGGCAAAGCTCAGGAAAATGGTGCTTCTACATGAAGAGGTGCAGATAAAGGTTTGTATGATGAAAGCTTTTCAAAGAATATTTCAATCAGGCAGAGCTCAATCTTTCAAAATAAACACAATCCTTGTCAACCTTTCCTTGGAAAAGAGTACAAAAAATCCAAGTTAGTTGGCACTCCCCATAGCAAAGAACAAAACTAATCTAAAGCAAAAAAATAAAAAGTACAACAGAAGGAGACCAACATCAAAGAAAACTTCCAAAAACAACATATGAACAGATATACCTTGACAATCTTCGATTTTTTTCCAAGGTTATTGAGAGTTCTTGTCAATGAAGCCTTAACCCCTTCTATATGTGTGCCACCATCAATGGTTCGTATGCTATTGGCATAACCCAACATTGTATCTGAATATGCATCTGAACACCTGGTAGAAGATGAATAAACCAAACCAAATCACATAGATCATTCAAGGAATGATAAAACCACAGTAGTGCATCACACAAAATTATAGACACTAAACACATAAAGAAACTGACATCCTTCATGTATACAATGAACCAACCAACATTAGATGCAAGACAATATAGATTCCATCAAATATACTCCTGAATAAATGCTTGGAAGATATGAATTTAGTAATGACAGGTGTTGCTAATTTTTCAAAGGTGAAAGCAAATCTGCTACTAAAAATAAATAACAGCACAGATAATATTTCTTTATCAGGAAAAAGACAAAATTTACAAAATGTATATGAATACCAAACTAAGTGGTTAGTGGTTTACCACTGGAGAGCAACATCAATTGTCGTTCCATCTATTTGTCTGCTGAAACATAGCACATCATGTAGTGGTTTCTGAATCAAAGAACCACCAGTTACCGATGCAATATTATCAGAATGCAAATTTCAGATATCATAGATCCAAGCATTTTAGATTGTAAGAGATTCATTTGCAATAATGCAATTTCTTCAGATCCCACAGATGAAAGCACTTCAAAACTAGATTTTGCATTAACCTCACATTTGATTTCATTGGTAACTGTTTTCAACAGATAATAATCCAAAAAGAAAAGAAAAAAAAAAGCTCAATTTTCCAAACCATTACTTAAATACCCTGACTTGGACAGAAAAGCAGACCAAGGAATACAATGTTTCCATCATATAAGTGGTCTCACTCATGACTTTATCATCAGATACTGAAGCCTCTAAGGCTGAAAGTCTGGACATCCATTTACACCATTTGCACAGACTCAATAAAATATAAGTACACAGTAATAATAATTACATGAGAAACCACGACCATTACAAAATACATTGATTTTTGCATAGAAGTGTTAAAGCCCAAGTAACCTGGTCATTCTAGACTGCCTACTAGCATAATTTCACAACCTATAATGGCTTTAATACTTACTTTTAAGAATTATGGTTTTTGGTGTGTTTAGACTAATAACAATAATATTGACTGAATTAAGTGGCACATATAGCCTCATAGTTGAAAACCAATTAATAATCTCTCATGCATACAAGTTTTAGTACGATATTGTGCCATCAAAAACTGGGAAACATACCACAAAATACTGTCCAGAATAGCCTTTCATTTCGGGTTTTAACATGAGCGAACACCTTGAAACACATTAATCATTATTAACTCTGAATCAATTGATGTATATAAAGAACCTTGCCTAGATGATCCTCCATCACAATGACTCATAAGTTATAGTAAATGATATAGATCCAAAGGTCTGATTCCTTCTCCTTCACATTTTTATTTCTTTTTTCCCCTCCATATTTGTAAAATTTTCTCAATAAATTTCTAAGCATTCTATAAAATCACTCAAGTGAACCTTTACCCTCAACCTATAACCCCTTACTCAAGCTCAGTAACTAGTAACTATCCTTTAGTGGTAGAGGGATGAAAACCTTCCACAATTAGCAAAAATAAGTTCTGATTACATCTTTTCCCTTCTATTCTCTTTTTCATTCTCAAGCATGAATCCGCTTATTTAATTCAACATCATCACCTTAGCTTGGAAAGATCTATATATATTATAGGATGAGAGGGTGGGAAACTAACATAAAAGCAAACAGAATGAAAAAGGAGAGGAAAGGAAGGGGCAAGGAGCAACACATAAATAGACAAGAATCAAATGAAAAGACAAAGAGAGAAGACAGGAAAAAACAAATGCACAAACCTTATCAGTATTTAGCCATTTCACATATTCAAACAGTCCCCCAGAAAAGAAATATTTATTATAAAAGCTCTTCTCTGGATTGTTATCTTCTTTTTTGAGAGTGATAGTAAGCTGCAAAGGTCAATTAAAAAAAAGGTAAAGCTATAACACCAGTAAGATATGGTTTACTAAATGAAGAAAGTAAATAGACTAGAGATTTCCTATAATGATATCCATTTTTTGGCCATTATAATGAAACATCAAAACTAATGGTAAGTATAATGGAGACTGATCAAAACATAGTGACCTAACTAAATGTTAATAATTTACCTTAGGGTTCAGGAAAGCAAGTTCTCTAATTCTTCCAGCAAGTGTGTTGTAGTCAAACTCAATTGAGGTGGTGAATACTGTGGTTTTAGTCAAACAACAAAGCAAATATTAAATCATAAAATCTGATTATCAGAAATAAAGAGGAGCTCAAAAACCAGCTGTACTTTTTTTGTCCGGCCAAAACCGGATGCTTGTCCCCTGACGATCCTTTGATTCAGTTGGAAGTACATGACATGTTAGTGTCGTTGCAGGCTTCCCACGTGAATATTTTTGCCGGTATTCCATTCCATCCCTCCAAACAGTGACTAGTAACGCCTGTGAACAAAGAGATCTTCAACTTTAAATAAGTGATAATCAGTTCCTGCAAAACCTTAATTAACATTTAATGAGATATCATTGTCACCATAACCCAATATCATCTCATTAACATTTAAACTCCATTGAGTTCAAATATGGATGTTTTCAATTAAGATGTATACATACAATATGAATGCAACTGAAGTGCAGACTAAATTTTATCAACCCGAGCAGAGTACATTTTATGTTTGAGGATATAGGAATGCAACTGAAGTGTAAACTAAATTTTATCAACCCAAGCAGAGTACATTTTATGTTTGAGGATATAGGATGTAACAAAAAATTTTAATCAATGAATTAAGAAGCAAAGTCAATGACCCATAGCCTAGAGCCCCAAATAGAAACCAAGTTAGTCAAAGGCAAAGGTATAGTCAAGGCACTAGGCCCTCAGATGACCTTGAGCACTAGGTTTCAAAAAGCACTAATTTGAGCAAACATTAGCTCAGATTATTTAAGTAAATAAATATTTTAGAGAAGAAATCTATATCCTGTATGCTAAAGAGGTAATATACTATAGCCATATTTAGTGCCACAAATTTCACTTTGAATGGAATTTTAGATCACAGATTAACTAGTAGCATAAAGAAAGTTAACCATATTATTATTCAACCATAAAGCCACTTACATTAGAGAAGTATAACTCAATCAAAAAGGATAAAAAAAGCCTTAAAGAATGGAAATGAAACAAAGAAGAAATAGATCCTAGGATTTGTTGGACAGACCCAGTTACCAGTCTCCCATCACTTCAAAATGTTAGAAAACAATAAATCAAGGCAGTGATAGGACAATAAGTACGTAATGAAGATGTGTCCTCTAATCTTCACCAAAATTTTGATGGATTTCATTGTTTTAGAAGAGAGGATAACATAAGAGAACAATGCCCCCATATATGAGCAACATTTCTGTAAATCTCATGCAACAAAGTTGTCATTTCAACACAGATCTTGCCTCAAGCATCATGTCAATTGGAGTTCCTCTCCTGGGCAACAAAGGTGAGTAACTTCATTACTCCCCCTGCCCCACCCCAGCTCCTTTTTTTTTTTTTTTCTCTTTCAGCATTTTGAGTAGAGTTGGCATCGGGGCGGGTTTGCTAGCCCCGAACCCGACCCTACCCAAAAAATTTTTTGTTTTTCCATACCCGAACCCGACCCCAACCCGATATTATATAAACCGTACCCGACCTAACCCGACCCGAAATTAATAAAATATTATTTTTTAAATATAAAATATTATTTTTTAAATATAAATATTTAAAAATATCATTATATAAATATATATAATTAAATAATTAATTAAAAAATAATTTTTTATATAATATCGAATCGGGTCGGGTTTGCCTAAAACCCGAACCCGACCCAACCCCGATTGTTTCCTAACCTTACCCGACCCGACCCAAAACCCAAATTTCAAAAAAAAAAACGATCCCATAGGGTCGGGTCGTGTCGGAACCCATCGGAGACGGATTGGATTGCCGACCCTAATTTTGACGCATTTTCTGGAACTGACCTCATTTGAGCACTTAGATGAGTGCTAGACCTAGCCCACCCTTGACAACTGATATAGAGAACAAAAAAACCTGAATAAAACCAGAAATGAAGAAATTTTAAAATTTAGAATATAATTCACACCTCAGATAATGCATTGACAACTGATAAACCCACACCATGCAAGCCACCAGAGACACTGTAACCACTGCTTGAACCACCAAACTTGCCACCTGCATGTAAGACCTGCAGAAAAAGATGGAATGTAAGTAGCATATAATAAATCTATTTTATAAAAGAAAAAAGTAATGAATTAAAAACTACTCAAATCTAAGCAGTTTCTGTTATTTTGATGGTAACTCCTAGAGGTTCATTATAAATGTGACTTTTGGTTCCTCTCATCTCCTTTCCTTTTCCCAAGCCTGCACATTTTTTGTCTATCTTGAAACACACAGTACTAATTCCTAATTTAAAAGATGACTTCCACCATTGCAAAAAGAACTTTTTTTTTTTTGTCAAAAACCAATTATATTAAGAAATATTATTTTCATCAAAGCAAACACAACTGTATAAGGTTTATGACTTTTAGGAATTTAGACATACAATATTGATAACCTTTTACACCAATTAAAATATATCCACACTCTACACAATATTGAGAATATAAACCTTAGTTTTTGTGAAAGAGGTATAGAAACTGTGTCACAGTTTCATCATTTAGTTTACATTTCTCCATAAATAAAAGAAAAAGAAAACCCTCGCATTAAGCAAGACATATAGCTAGTTATGTTAGTACTTTTACATAGTAACCTAGTTAAGAAGCACCGTTCTAATGAAAAAGAGGAAGTTTCAGCATAAACTAACTCATATTTCCATCTGTCAAAGTAACCATCAAGATAAGAAGTATTATAGTTTCATAATTCATTTACATTTTCTAAAAGCAAAGAATGTGTTGAAAACCCTTCAGAAGGGGGATTTCTCACTATTCCTTTCGCAAATATAACATTCATGTATTTTTACAACTGTTTAGATAATTCTTTATTTTTTATTAAGTTGAGGGTCTCAAGCCATGCCAATGGATGAAAAAGGTTCTAATATGTGGCAGAAATGGAGAACTACAACAATAAAAAAAAAAAAAAAGCACATCCTCCTTTAAAGCACCCTAAGGACAAATACCCAAAGAATGGTATCAAAATTCATTGAGATCGGAGATACAAGACTTAGACAAGAGATCAAACTTCACGTAAAAAATTACAGGACAAACAAAAAGACTGTCTTATTTATTCAAGTGACTTTCTTAAAAAAGATTCCTGTTAACCTCAATATAAAAATTCAAAATGGATATGGATCGTTTATGTTTTATTACCGTCAACACTGTTTCCAAGGCAGATTTCTTTGTGACAGGATGCAAGTCAGTAGGAATCTGCAATTCATAAGTGCAACCAAGTGAGAAAAAAAAAGTGGGAAAACACATTAATAGCTGGCCAGAAATAACAGATAGCTCTCAACCAAGATATTTCAATGTAAAAGAATTAACATAATCTGCACTGCAAAGACATGTTTAGGTCATATATACCAAAATTATGACACAAGTTCTTATAGCAGGTAAAGTAATTCACATCTCAAGATTAATGTATTGAGTATTGGTCAATGATTTACACATATTGGCTATAAAAAGGGTTATGCAGAGTCCATAGAGAAAAGAAGGTTGGACAAAATAAGTGCACATTAGAGTTAAATTCACAGGTTAGAATATTTTAATACACATTTGACAACAAATGCAATACCACATAACATCATTTATAGCACTAAAATAATAGAAGTTGCATACTCCTCGCCCATTATCAGTTATGCTCACAGAACCATCTGAAAGTAGAACAACATCTATTTGTGTTGCAAAACCAGCTTGTGCCTCATCAACAGCATTATCCAATATCTCGAATACCTAATAGGAAGAAGCAAAAACAAACATCTTAATGAATTGTACCATCAAAATTGCTAAAAAAAAAGAAAAAGAAATTACCAAATGGTGCAAACCACGAGGTCCTGTACTTCCAATATACATTCCAGGTCTTTTTCTAACAGGGTCCAATCCTTCCAGAACCTACAGATATTACAAGGCATTTATAGTACCAAAAATAAATTACAGAGCTTATAAAAAAGAGTACATTTTTTACAAAATTACCTGAATTTGCTCAGAGTTGTAAGCTTTGGAGCTTTTAGTTCCCTGGAGAGCTTCGGTTGTGATGTTAGATGACGCAAAAGCCCTTGGTGTAACTACATTTTGAACTGGAAACCTGTAAATGCTCCTCAATGCAAAGTTTGTCCTGCTAGACCAGTAGCCCAATTTGACAAAGGGATTATATAGAAAATGGAAAACCCACATTGAGTATTCAAACGGAAAATAATTAAAAACATGATCTCTTCCCATAATCAGTAATCCCAGAAATTATAAAAAAAAAAAGTTTTTTTAATCAAATGGAGCCAAAAGAGAAAACCCTTTTGGCTATTGTAAGTAATTAAAGTAATAACTGAATAAAAATCAAAATACACATTCTGTTTTCTACTTTTAGAAACCTGACTTCCCTTTCTTTTCCCAATCTTTCTTTGAAATAACTAACAAGATAAAAGCAAAAAAAAAGAGGTGAAACGAGAGAGAAAAGAGGAAAACCTGGGCTTGAACAAGAGAGAGTAGCGAGGATAGGATGCGAGAGAGTGAAAAGAAGGAGAACGAAGACAGAAACGACAACGAGAGGCCATAAGACGAAGAGGAAGATGAAGATAAGGATACCGCGGAAGAAGCGCCATCAAACAGCGGGACTAGGGTTTTAGATGGAGTTTCTCTCTATCTTTTTCTTCAATTTTTGGCTCTGCGTTTTGTGTTTTAATCCTAAAACCTTTTCCCTCTTTTTTTCTGGTTTTTCCCTCACTACTCCTCTCCTATTAAACCCTACTTAAGGGACGTTTGGTTAAGTAACTACGCGTTACTGCCTGCTTGGAATTTCCTTTATTTATTTTTTTACGATGAAGATTATCTTGTTTGGCTCACTTGCGTTTTTTTGAAATCGAAAATGTATGATGTGTGGCACTCTCATACGTTATGAAAGCGGATTTAACTCCACTCTTTTTTTTTTTTAACTTTAAATGACAAGTTTTATTGATTTTGAGATGAAAAATAAGATCAATATAAATAAAATTTATAGTTATTTTTTTATTTATAATTTTGGCATGAAACGATTTAGATTATACATTTTTTTATATTTATATTTCTTATAATCTAATGATCATCATAATTTTTTGTTCAATATTATGAAAAAATTAAAAAAAGAACTAAATCCTACTAAAAACACCGTAAGTCATCACTTCATTATTTAAGCATCATAAACTATTATTTCATTAATGAATAAAATTAAATTTTTTTAAAAAATTTATCTCAAAAAAAGTTTTTTCTCAAAATTAAAAACTTAAAAAGTTTTAATATAATTAAATATTTAAATTTTAAAAATATTTACTTTTAAAGACTCTAAAATTTATTTTTTCATTAATCAAAAGGTGGATCCACATTTAAAAATAATATGTTTATGGGCATCCTCAAAAATTTTAAAAAAAAAAATTGAACATCATTTTTTATTTTGACAAAATTAATAAACATGTTGATATTTTTTAAATATAAGTGGACACCCTCATATATGTAACTGTTATTTTTCTCTCTTTTTATTGTCTGTTTCATTTATAAACTTTCTCAAATTTTAGAAACAATTTTGCATGAAAAACAGTTGTATCATTATCTCAAAAAAAAAAAAAAAAGGTGGACACCCTCAAAAAATATTAAATCCATCATTTATTAATGTGATAATTTATGATGCACTAATAGTTTATAATATTTATATATTAATAATATATAAATATAAACTCTTCATGAAAATTTTAAACCCACCCTTCTTGCATTGTGTGACATCCAAGAAATTATAACTTTTTACTTTTATGGCCTTCTGATATTAATTTCTTCATTTATATTACCGTTGTAATTAAAGTAAGTTAAAAAAAAATAAGCAACCCAATACGAAAAGCTTCTTACGATATTGTGCTTCATTGGTACTTCTAAATGATTTTCCCCAAACCATTTTCTGTATCTTCCCACATATTGTAAGCTAAAAAAAGAATTAGTCAATGAAAAAAAAAAAAAAACAAAGCAAGTAAATTATCTTATGCTTATATTAGAACACGTGAGACAATTTGCACAACTTTTTGTCTAAAACAAATATTAAAAGAAAAAAAATTCAAAACTATAAACTTTGCCTTCTTCCTTTTTCTCTTTTCCATCGTGCACAACTTTTTTTTTCTCACTTTTCTTTCACTTTCATTTTTTTATCCATATGTTTTCGTTAAAAATATTTTCAAATTAGTAAAATATATTTGATTAAATATGATACTTAATCAAAAAGATTAAGAAATTAATGGATAAAAAGCTATAAAATAACTTAAGAAAGATTTCGTAAACGAGAAAATTGATTCAATATATGAAAAAAATTTATAAGTGATCAAGATAGCTTATAGAAAGTCACTGCCTATACAAGGGAGTGAAATGGCCATAATTTCTAGTAAAGGAAAATCATTAAGTTATGAAAATACAATAAAATAATCAGATGCCTGGTTGGGGGTAATGGATTGGTGGTAGTTGACTATCCATCTTAAAAAAGTCTTTTATTTCAAGAATACAATGAGGTAATCAAATGCCAATGTAGGACATTTGATTGCCCTAATAACAAAAAGTGTTTTGGAACCAAGTTAGTACAAAGGTAGTCGAATAACCATGTATTGCATTTAACTTTTTTAACTCAAAAGTTATGTTTCTTTGTTTGTAAAATATAATTTCTCTTTAAATAAGATATGATCATTCACAATTTGATATTTCACCTCTGAATGATGAAAAATTACAATTATAATTTTTAAAACATGTGTTATTAATGGAAAAAATAAAATTGTTTATTGAATCAGCACAATTAAAGGCACATAATTTGTAAGAAAAAAGAGGGTTCGATCCATCCATAATGGGTGATCCAAGTACCCAAATTACTAATGAGGCAGTTTACATTGCAACAAAAATTATCTTAAGACAATTAACTAATTAGCTTGAATTTCACATGAAGAAAAATCAACTACCCCTTTTGTCTATAATAAATGTCATTCGACCATCATGTACAAGATGATGATGCAATATCATTTCTAAACAAAAGGAAAGATAATTCAACAAAGTGAGATAAGAAACTTTCATGAGAAATTCTTGCATTCAGTGTGTGAAAGATTTATACTGTGGAATCAAACAATTTTTACTTTATTATATTGCTTATGGCTAATGGCTCAAGTCAGACGATCGCTTTTATAAATCTATCAGACAATCACTTTCATAAACAAGTCTTTCGCATTTCGATATATGATAATGTTAATATTATCTATCATTAGTATCAAAGCCTTTAAGGCTTAAATTTGGTCAATTTATGCATGTTCTTTATAAAATCGAAAATAATTTGATAAGTTTTTATATGCTTGTGAAAATCCATAAAAATGGATACACAAATTGGGTATTTTTGTTGTAAATTGATATTGTTACGATGATTCATAGACAAATTGATGAAATGCTATGAAATTTTGGATTAAAAAATTTATGTTTCTAGAATGGGCATTCGAATGCTTGGCTAAGGCAACCGGCTACTCTAGGCAAATTTTTAAATCCAATGGCTAAATTTTATCAGGTATTCAACTACTTCTCTAAGCATTCAATTGCCCCTTTGTTTTTTAAAACAAAATCTAAAATTAGATAAGGCAGTTGACTATCTATTTCGAACATTCGACTACCCATATAATTTCTTAAAACAAAATTTTATTTTATTTTAATAAAGTAATTTCTTTATCTTTGATTATTTTGAAAGGATAAATTACATACGAATTATTGATATGAGTTTTAATCATTTTAAAACTTGTATTGACTTATGAATTCATGAATTTTTTTTTTGTATTTATTACAAAAAATTATAACTATTATCATGAGAACTCCCATTGTTATGAAGATTGAGGCATAATTTTTATACCCTAAAGTTGACGATGGAATTGGCACAATACCAAATGGATTCAAATGATAATGACATTGTAAGTCATATCATTAAGGTCAATGACACGATCTAATAATTAATTTAGTGCGATTGCATGCATATTAGAAATAACTGGATCAAATAAATAATGCCAAAGGATACACTATTGACTCATAGACAAAATAATTTTTTTCAAAATATCTAGATGTCTTTGGGGAGGAATCCTAATTATGAAACATTGATAAAGAATTTTGTAAAAGAATAAATGAAAATGGAAGCAAGAATAAATGTGACCTTGTCAGTCTACGCAAGTCTTTGTAATGGGAAACAAAAAATTTCTAAACATCCATGATAAGCAATGTGAATGCAAAACTGTCAAATGAATTTTTGGATTCTATCTTTATCATTTAACAAGTCATATGTGCTAATTAAGAGAATAGTTTCATGAACATTTAATATGTTTTATTATGAAACTTGTTTATGTGTTTAGTATGTATATGATGTGTAAAACTTATCTTTATGAAAATAGTATATGTTATTGATTGTTTAATGGTAACCTTATGGTTAGCAGGAGTTCTAAGATATTGAATAATATAATCTATTGAATAATGTAATCTTAGAGTGATCAATTTTGTGCAATAAAATAAAACAAGTAATAATCAAATGGATTAAAAATGAAATTCGATTGTGAATATAGTGACATTTTGGTTTCACTTTTTATGTGAATGGTTGTAATTATTTTATACATACCTAACAATTGTTAAGTGACTAGATGTGATTATGAGTTGCTATATGCACCTAATAGTAGTATAGCAACTAGCTTTTGAAGTATGCTGGTTGCACGACTTATTTACTTGTATGAATTCAATGCAAAGAATAAAGAAAGTGTTCTCGAGATCATAAGTGTTTGGCACCTATTCTGTGTGAGTGAAAAATGTAAGAAAAAAGTAATTGAGTCTGCCCGTAATGAGTGATCCAAACACCTAACTACCAATGTGGTAGTTTATATTGCAACAAAAAGTATCTCAAGATAGTTAACTAATTTGTTTGAATTTCAAACCAAAAAAATCACCTGCTCCCTTTGTCTATAATAGTTGGCATTCAGCCATCATCTAAAAGATGATAATCCAAAATCATTTCTAGACAAAAGAAAGAGAATTCGACAAAGTAAGTTAGTGATGACTCTATAAAATAGAGTTATTTAGACTTGTATTCAATGCTTAAATGAGTTATTTTTGCTTTTTATTTTTGGTAAAATAAGTTTTTTTTTACTCATAATGTGCTTAATTTGTTGTTTTATAGGAAATCTTAAAAGAAAGATGAAATCTTGATAAATTTTGAATGTTGTAGTTTATTGATCAATCTTGAATAATTATTGATATATTTGAATGAAACTTAGAGATATTCTTGTTGATTCTTGGAGTTCTTATAAAATTTTAGAATGAAAATGCAATAATTTATTCAAGATTTGAATGTCACACCTTAAGACTTAAAATTGCTCTATCTTGATGAAAATTTCAAAAAATTCATGCAAAAATCAAGAAAGGGATGTTTAACTATGATTAAGTCAGATTTGTAATTTAAAGTTGAATACAAGTCTATAGTAACTTATGTAGGTGCACGTGCATGAGATTACTGGGATGACATAGCAGTAAGTCTTTTTTTTTTAGCTAAGAAAGATAATCTGGAGGCTTATGTGGCATGATAACTTGGTAATTTTGTTGATATTAGAAAAGTCCAAACAACACTTGATTTTTTACATTAACTCGGAATTCTTATTTCTATTTGGATTTCACTTATTCCTACTCAAGATAAAAGTTGCAGAGATATATATAAACTTCTAAAAAGAGGCTGGTAAGCGCATGATATAAACTTAGAATTTATTTTTCTCTTCAATAAGAGACTTATTAAAGGCAAATATTAAGAAGTCTCAAAAAATGAACAACATTCAATCTAACTTGAAAAACATTTTCTAGAAGAATT